CGACCCCAGCACGATTCATGCCAGCAAGGCCGAATCGGCGAGGCGCATCCGGCGTTTGGCCAGCTAGCCGTATAGAGGAAGCTGCAGACCGAACCGACAGGATCATCCATCAACTGTCGATGCAGGCACTGACCTCGAATTCCTACGAGGAGATTTCGGCGATCGTCGAACAACTGGAAGAGGAGTTGGACTGGTTTTGGGATACAGTTCGAACTGAGGCTGCAAGTAGGAATCGGGAGATTAATATGGACGAAGGGGACCGTGTACGACGGACTATGCATAAAGGTGCGGAAGCCATTAACTCGCTCACGGCTAACCTCGATCGTATGGAGGCTCGACGTGTAAAACGCGAGCTCGAGACGAGGTCCCCGACTGCTAGACACGCTACGACGCATCCGCTGAGAGAACGACCTGCCACCCCACGTCCGTCGCACGAGTCGAACCCGTCATCGCGGGCTATTCCTAGTCCACCCGATATTCGCCCCAATGTTCAGCAAGACGTTGGCGCGCAGGTCGACCCGGTGCAGATGCCTATTGCGGAGCCGGCTCCCATACCAATAGCAGCTCGCCGCTCAAGATCATAGTACTACGGCGAGGACAGGAGGAGCCGCCCCGGCAGATGAGCAAGGCTCACGCCAAGGAGCAGAGCCCCCGCCCGCTCCAGTAAATACACCAATGGACCAAATCCCAACTCAACGAAGTGGGATTGGCCATCTGGGTCCGGCAGAATGGACGCAATGCATCGGCGATACGGGCATGGTATCGGACTGGCAAACAGATCCTGTTATTCAGCGATCCATTGGTAAACTATTTGCTCCCCGTCAGCCGAATGAAGATCAGGCTACGTTTGATGGTAGGGTGGCGGCCGTACAACGGCTGATCAACCCTCCCAGTCAGCCAACACCCCGAAATCGACAGCGTGACCAGAGCCAGCATAGAGTGCGGCCTGACGAATTCACTGTCGATTACGACGCTGCTCAGAATGGACGGAACGTAGGATCGAGCCCCGACCACATTCGTCCCCTGAAGCTGGAGGGAGTAACTCCAGAAGTGCCCTCCTCGACGCAAACACTTACGTCGAACCAAAATAGTCGCAATGTGACAAGAGAGGCTAGTCAGGCCAGTGTCCACTCGACCTCCTCTCGAGACGTGAACATTCGTCGAACCGTTGCGACGAGGGGCTACTCTAATGAGCCTCATGCCATCGGGACTGTGGCCCACGGAAACGAGATCGATGGCTGTACAATTCGCCTCGATCAAACAAATGATGTATGGCAAAGTAATACGTCTCAGCCCACTGCACTAGTACCATACATGCGTGCTGCGCGAGGTGCCAATGGCGGCAATCCAGGCGGCGACCCCTCCGACGATGGTGATGACAATCGTCGCAGACGAGGTAATGATGACCGTCGAGACCGTCCTCCTCACCTACCTCCAGACAATGGCCGTAGACTGCTTCCACCGGACCGTAGGCCTGTAGGACAACCTACAAGTGGCTCTGGTGGTGACGGCGGAGGCGGAGGCGGGGGAGGAGGCGGCGGAGGGGGCCCAGAAGACTCCTATAACTCCGGTCGACGTCAACGACGAGTCGCTGTGGTAGTACCTACAGGTGGTGCAGGGGGCGGAGGGGGCGGAGGAGATCCACCCGGAGGAGGTGGAAACCCTCCTGGGGATGATCCCTCTGATGACAATGGAGATAACGATGACAATCCCAGGAATATCGGGCGTCGTAATTGGCAGCGAGCAGCTACTCCCGCGCACGAATACGAAGACGAACTCGTAGAAAAGGCGTTGATGACGATACGTAGTGCGCGTCGAAGGGCTGCACCCTATACTCCGGAGACACGAAACTTTAAGCCGGCCGCCAAAAGGTTATATGATGGCAGGGTGGATATACGTTTCTTTGAAAAGTGGCTGTCAGACATTTTGACAGACTTCGACCTCATGGGCATAGGGCGTGATAACTATGATCGCCAGCACGTATTACTCGTATCTAAATATTTTGAAGGCGATTCCGCCGAATGGTTCTATCAGGAAGTCCAGGATTACAACCGAGAGAAAGACGAATGGACTTTCCCTGAAGTCATAGTGGGACTAATCCGTCGCCACCTCTATGTAGCCACTTCCAAGGAGGCTGACAACATGTATGAAAGGA